GGGAAAGAGGGAAGGTCAAAATGTAGTCTGTGCAGCATGTTGCAATGATCTGAGTTATGAAATATGCACTTGAAGACCAGCAGTTGGCGTAATGGCTATGTAGCTGGACTCCCATGTAGTCGACTGCAGTTCGAGTCCTGGATCCGGTGGCTTAAACTCACGCCAGGCGCATGTGCATGCATGCCCAAGATTCTGAGAGGAGAATGGAGGAGAAGGGATTGCGGCATGGCTATCCCTCCCCCCACCCCAGGGGGTGATTTCTTGATTCCTGTCTCTCTGTCTTTCTGGCGAGTGCACATGCCCTAGAGCAAAAACCTCTCCTTCCCAAAAGAGAAATATGCACTTGAAGACATGACTGATTTAATTAGTTACTTCTTTTTTTGTGTTTGTTTCTTGGTTTGTTCATTTTGTTTTGGTTAGAGGGTGCATGCGCTCTCCAGAGAGATGAGGGGAAAGAAGAAATGAGAGAAAGAGAAATACCCCACCAGGGCAGGGTCAGGCCGCAATCTCTTCTTCCCCATTTCTCCACCCTGTCATGATGTTGGACTCACATATGTAGATGCCCACCATAGTTTTCAAGCCATGCAGGCCGAGATGCACCTTGTCCGGTCACGTGGGATCTGGCTCCCTGTGCTTATCCACGGCCACATGGCCAACCCTACTTATGCTGATTTGGGACCTGGTGGAGTGGCAGGCCATATAGAGGTCAGAAAATTGGAAACCAGCGATGAGAGAAAACATGGTCCGCATGAAGTGTCTTCATAGGAGGGGAAAAAATGCCTGGACTTCAAGTTATTTTTTTGGTACCAAAATAACTCATACAAAATAAACATGAACTTTGTGAAGTGTCCTCACACAATTCATGGGTTGATTATGTACAAAAAAGCAGAACTCAACTGGAAAATCATTCCGTCCTCTTGAAAGTCATTAGTGTCAGAGAGATGTCCTAGGATAATAAATGTGAAGAGAGTCATTTTTTTACTTTGTTCTTTATTTATTAGATTCGGGACATCAGAAGGCAGCAAAAGTTGAATATAAATGGACGGAGGAGACTCTTAGGTAAATCATCACACAGTATGACCATGGGGAGCAGAGGAAGGAGGAAAGAGAAAGGCAAATGAACAAGATGTTCTAGACGTAGCTAGCAAAACAGACACAAATAACTCACTGGGCCTGGAAAGCAGCTGTCCCCAAATCCCGAGGGAACTCAAGGGTAAAGCTATTGCAGAACAGTTGGGAAAAGGAACCTGGCTGACCTCTGCCCCTTGACTTTGAACTCCCCAAAGAGAGTTCAGGGAAGAGATATTCTACTTAAAAAAAAAGAGCGTTTCCTTGGAGACAGCAACATAAAATGCTATCACAAACGAAGCCAAAGTCTGAGACAAGAAAATCAAGAAAGAAAACAAAACCTTTTGTTGGCTTTGCGTGAAGTCACACGGTGGCTGCTCTAGTTTTGTGTGGTCACACCCCCAAAGAACCATAATGGGACCGAGATGGGATCAAGAGTCTGTCAGGTGAAGGTAGTTTTTAAAAAGGGATTAAGATTCTGTAGCTGGGAAAAGTCAAAACCAAACAGGCTATAATCAAAGCCCATAAAGTTATGAAAGGTATAAATTAAGGAAATGGGGCAGACAATTCATCAAATGTAAAATACTGAAAATAGGGACTGGCCCTTTGAAGCCTGGGGATTAATATGTATAATAGGGAGCTTTAATCACACATTTGGATGTAAATTTATGGAAGTGAAAACCAAAACTAAGGACCAATTATTAATCACGAGGTAGTGGGTTTCTTCAGGAAACCAGACACTTAAAGGTCATCACAACAAGGGAAAGTTCATCTCCCCAGCAGCAGAAAATCAGAAGGCAGCGGGAGAGAAGTGGGCTAGAAGGAGTGAGAAAATGAGTGACTTGCTTCCCTAATGATCAGTGAGACACCTGGATGTTGATGGCTTACTCTCTCCAAAGCAGTATAATCTTGCCATAGCTCACAAATGAATTCATGAAATGACGGTGCCGATACTTGATCAGATGGGAAGGGGAAATGGGAGAAACCTAAGAGGGGGAGAGAGCAGACCTATAACGAGCTAGACAGCAGCCACCGCGCCCGCCTTCCGAGTGATACTGCCATCTAGTGGTGCTGCGGAGGGAAAACACGAGGAAGACCAGGCGTTTTCAAATCCTGTAAGCAGTCAGGTCAGGCTGCGCACCACTCCACAAGAGTTCCTCCCACACACACTCCTTGAGAAAAAGGACTATTGTACGCCTGGAGCTAAGACATCGCGAGCACGGCTGGGTGACTAGGATTATGAACAAGCCATTGTACTTGGGTTTTGGTGCCCACACAGGTGCGCACGCCCACGGCTGCTCCCAGGCATTATGATCCCGTCTGCTGGCATGGCCCTGGGCTGCCACTCCAGACTGAGTGTATTATCAAGCTTCTGGAGAGGGAGGACTGGGGAGAAGAAAAGAAAGACGAGTGGAACAATGCGGGGTATTTCTGGGAGGCTTCCTTGTTAGATAAATCCTTCCACTTCTATTAAAGGCTCTGGTCATGCTGGAAGGCTTAGAAATACTGAAAATTGGGTAGTGTAGTGATTGCTGGAAAGCTTAGAAATACTGAACATTGGGGCCAGCAGGTAGTGTAGTGATGAAGGCACTGGATTCCCACATGATTAACTGCAATTCAAGTCCTGGACGTGGCAGCTAGAAAATCACCCCAGGCCCATGTGCCAGTGTGCGTGGCAGCTGGAAAATCACCCCAGGCCCATGTGCCAGTGTGCGGAAAATCCCAGGAGGAGGATGGAGGAGAAGGGATTGCTGTGTGGCCATACTCCAGGGTGATTTCTCACTTTCTCTCTCACTGTCTCTTGCTGACAAGTGCACACACACACACTATGGCAAAAGCCTTCACACACACACACACACACACACACACACACACACACACACAGATCTAACCCTGATGAGCATCAGAAATGATTGGGACAGAGTCACATGGGAGAGACATTAATGACATTTATTGATTCAAACCCAACATTTCAAATATAAATTAAGTTGCATCAGTTTTGTGGGCTCTGTTTAGTGGCTTTTACCCAGATTGGCTAGCACGGTCACCTCGCAGGCTGTGTGAAGTGGTTTTATTCTATTATAGTACATCCCAGTGCTCTAGATGACTAAGAGGTGTAATATGCTAATGAAAGTGTAATCGCTGGGGCCAACGGATGGTTACAGACCCAGTACTTGAAAATCATGCCAGGTGCAAGTACGTGCATGCCTAAGATCACGGGAGGAGAATGGAGGAGAAGGGATTGTGGTGTGGCCATCCCCCCTGGGGGGGGTGACTTCTCACTTTCCCTTTCACTGTCTCTGTCTCTCTCTACCCCCAGCGAGCACACATACCCTAATGCAAAAACCTCTTCAAAAAAAACAAAAAAAAACAAAGGAAAAAAAAGTGCAATCACTATACATGAATGGGTTTCTAGAAGCTAACATCTCTACCTCGAAGCAGTGTGAACACACACAGTGAGAAAATGGGAAAGGCAGGAGCAGATACAGTTGAGACAACTGCTTTGAAGCATGAGGTTTGCATATGGTAAGGTTTGCAGTCAAGAGAAAATTGAAACACACATATTGATTCTCTTCTTACCTCTGTCTGGACCATAGACATCCGGTACGACCTCATGTCCGACACCAGCCCTAAGATGTCAACGAACTCGTGATCTCGAATGTGCTGCAGGAGTCTGTCGAGGGCGATGAACGTGCCTGTCCGTCCCACTCCAGCACTGAAAAGCACATGCAGACAGCACTTGGGAGGCTTCTTCACAGTTAAAGGTTAACTGGAGACGTCTAAAATACTGCAGGTACCACTGTGATAAAAGACCAAACTACTGACCGTATTTGCCACTTGACCTAAAGACATGCGGATAGAGTTGGTGTTCGTTATAATATCACTTTTTTAAAGTTTATTTTTATTTCTTCACTGAAGGATAGACAGACACTGACCCTCAACAGAGTCTCAATGTTGCGATCCATCTCCAGCCTCCGCCAGCCCTGGGTTATGGTCACAGACATGCTGACATGCTCAGAGACATCTTCAGATGTGACCTGGAACTTTCCCCATAGGGAACCTTGCAGAGCGTTGCATTTTACCTCTGTCCTGTCATCTTCCCCCTAATGTCATGTTTCTGACTCTAACTGCTACCTCTCTTAACGAGAGGCAGGTTTTCACTGCCATGGCCATGTCCTCCCCCAAGCTCGCTGCTTCCTAAGAAAAGTAATGATTCCACCTTGAGCACTCTGGATAGGGGTTTCCTGCTCTCAGAGGCGTGACACACACAATCAGTGCCCCATCTTTTGAATAGCTTTAGAGTTAAGCCTTCACACTCAGCTCAAAAATCTAGCTGAGGTGCTCACATCCCAGCTGTAGTTCTGGAGTCCCGGTGGTCCATGCACCCTCAGCTTGTACACCTGTGTAAGCTCAGTTCACCTTCTCAGATATTCCTTATAGTGCACCTGCCCTTCCAGTGGGTCCTTGCCTGCTGCCATCTCAGAGGGACCTCAGATAGTGGCCTCAAACTCAGATTAAATATTTGGACCCAGTGTCTTCCAGTACCCAAAGCCCAGGACTCAGAGCATAGTTGGATGTGGGCTGACATGGGCTGACCAGCTGCCCACCACAGTCCTAGCTCTTTATTTGAATGGCAGCTCTTTTCTTCCAGTCACCCATGGATGGAAGAGCCAAATGGTTCCAAATGCTGACGTATGGTGACATTATAGGAAAAGAGAGTTGAAGCCGGTTTAGATGCAGAATTTGCTAGAAGAGTCCAACATACTAGCCTAATACACAAAGACAAAGATGCTAGATCTAGGATTATAGATTGATTTGCTCAGAGGGTGTCACTGGAGATCTTCTATCTCTGATACACAATTTGGGCATATTTATGTGCTTTGCTCTTTTGAGAGTGCATAAAAATTTTATAACAATATTCTATTATAGGGTTAGGTTTTAATGCAGCTTTGTCCACTTGGTGGGAAGAAAAGATTAAATTCAAGAATAACTCTTCCTGGGACCAGCAGTTAGCGTAATGGCTATGTCACTAGATTCCCATGTAGTCGACTGTGGTTCAAGTCCCAGACCAGGTGGCTTAAACTCATGCCGGGCGCATGTGCATTCATGCCCAAGATCCCGAGAGGGGAATGGAGGAGAAGGGATTGCGGCGTGGCCATCCCCCCTGGGGGGTGATTTCTCACTTTCTGTCTCTCTGTCTCTTTCTGTCTACCAAAAACCAATCAAAAAAAAAAAAAAAAAAAAAAAAGAATAACTCTTCCCATAAGGAATTCGTGTGAACCTCTATTTCTGATCATGGAATGGGTTTAGAAGTTTAGAGAGAATTTTGAAGAGCAACCATAGCAAATACATTTACCTAAATAAAGAATATTTTCACTTTTATTTCATCTTGTTTTTATGTCTACTCATATTATTTTGAGCTGAGATAAGCTATTTGTAATCGGACCTGTATTTGTTCATGTCGTAACTACTCAGCATTCTTGCTGGGGTTGCATACTATCACATAGAACTTAAGAGCAGGGCCTTTGCAGATGGGCATGCCTGGATTTAAACCCTAACTCTTCCACATTTTAGATGCATGAATTTGTGGGAATCCGTTAACCTCTCTACTTCTCAGTTTATTTTTTATGTGAAAATCAGAATACTATGATCTATTCCATAGCAATAGATAGAAGATAATTACATAATAAGTAAGTAGTATATAATTAAATCTGATCAAGAGTTCATAGAAGAGTAGGCTATTTCCTTTAGTCAGAAAACATCGAGGCTTCAGAGGAAACGCATGTGGTGAGCTCACCTGCAGTGAATGATCATGGGGCCTTTGCTCCTTGTAGCTTGCTGCCGGACCATGTGCACGAACTGCAGGATACTTTCCGCCGCGTTTGCCGTGGGCACACCGTGATCGGGCCATGCAGTGTAGTTAAAATGCATCACATCCTGCATCTCGTCAGCCTTTAGGGGGAAAAGCCAACAACAAGCATTAATCTCTCAGCCCAGTGTCAGGATGGCCCAGGCTTCCACTGCCGATGGAGAAAAAGTAGTCACATGTCACTCCCGATTCATAGGCTTTCCATTTCCAGCTCTGAGCACGGTGGTGTCTGGCAAACGAGGTCCCAGGAAGACAAAACAAAATAAAACAAAAACTAGGTATACAAAGCTTCAAATGGTAGGATGGACGGGCTAATCTATGCCTATGTCGTTAAGGACAAGAGCTTAAGCCGATCAGAGTCTGCATCCTGGCTGTGTCATTTAGAATCTGCATCAGCGTTGGCAATAAATGAACTGTGGAAGGTGCTGTTGGAACTCTACTTAGAGCTGGCCTGGTGCAGTCTGTCGCAGCTGATGCTAACAGCGTATAGCAACGATATCCTCCTGACAGTCGCCCCCCACTGCAGGAGCTGCCTCACTGGAAAAGGCCCAAGAGGTCGCGTTCTGCTGAGGCGGCTGGCAGCTAATAACGGACTGAAACCAGGGTACAGAACTCTACCCCCTTCAGGCAGAATGGGACAATACTCCAGTGCTCTTCATGGAGTCTGGCTGAGGCCTAGACTTCAGCTGAGCCCACAGCTGTGTGTCTTCTTCTCCATCTCATTCTGCTTTCCTCACTCCCCTGTGGGTTTTAATTGACACTATACTTCCAAAAAAATCACTTAGATGAGGATCCCTGCTCAGAGCTCTGCTATTAGGGAACCTGATCCAACCGGCTGAGCTGCAGTTTTCTCATATCTGCAAGAGGCTGCTGACACCTGGAGTAAGGGTGGTTGCAGATTGTGAGCCTGCACGTGAAGGACAGTGCACGTTAGAGATTCTACCATTTCTAGTACTCCATAATTACCAGCACTTACTCCTGGATTGCCCAGTGTCTGTATCGCGTGGGTTCCGGGAATCTCTAGGAAGCAGTCATAGTTTGTGTATCAATCTTATTCATGTACATCAACTACGTTGTTGTTCCCTCTGAACTGAGTAAATACCAGTTAAAATGTGGATCCTTCATGATCAACTCTTTTGGGCCAGCATGTAGTATGGAGGTTAAGGCAGTTGGATTCCACATGACTGACTCTGGGTTTGAGTCCCGGACATAGCAGCTTGAAAATCACATCAGGTGTGTGTGTGTGTGTGTGTGTGTGTGTGCGCCCAGGAGCGCAAAATGCGCAGAGGAGAATGAAGGAGAAGGGATTGTGGCACGGCTATTCCTCCTGGGGTGGGTGTGGGGTTGGTGTGTGAGGTTATTTCTCACTTTCTCTGTCTCTCTTTGGTGAGCACACATGCCCCATAGCAAAAACAAAAATAAAACAAAACATTAAAAACCTTTTTAGGGGACCAGCAGTTAGCATAATGGCTATGTCGCTGGACTCCCATGTAGTCGAATGCAGTTCAAGTGCCAGACCTGGTGGCTTAAACTAACTCCAGGTGTGTGTGTGTGTGTGTGTGTGTGCCCAAGATCCCAAGAGGAGAAATGAGGAGAAGGGATTGCGGTGTGGCCATTCCCCTCCCCCCGTGGGGTGATTTCTTGCTTTCTGTCTCTCTGTCTCTCTTTGTCTTTCTGGCAAGTGCAGGCACCCTATAGCAAAAACCTCTCAAAAACAAACAAACAAACAAAACAAAAAACAAAAACAAAACAAAAACTTTTTAGCTCCTATTACTTTGTTAGTGTGATTTATTCTCTTGTTATCAACTAAGAAAACTATTCCAAAGATCTGATTCATCCCTCATCTTTCAAACTTGCTAAGAGAGCCTTGAATTTGCTCACAAGATAGAAAACCATATCATAAGTTGGGAGAGCATGGCATGGCTATGAGTTTGAAGCTGAAATTTAGGTATTAAAAAAAAATTCCAGGACCAGCAGTTGGCGTAATGGCTATGTCACTGGACTCCCATGTAGTCGACCACAATTCGAGTCCCAGACCCGGTGGCTTAAACTCATGCCGGGTGCGTGTGTGTGCGTGCCCAAGACTCCAAGAGGAGAATGGAGCAGAAGGGATTGCGGCATGGCCATCCCCCCTGGGGGGTGATTTCTCGCTTTCTGTCTCTCTGTTTCTGTCTTTCTGGTGAGCGCATGCACTCTATGGCAAAAACTTCTTCCCCCCCTGCAAAAAAAAATCCATAGTCAGTGGTCCTGGAAGAGCAAAATTTGTATCTATGTCAGTAATGTATAAATAAAATACATAAATAAAAATATAGTAAGTGTGTATAAATATAAATGTCATTGCTTTACACCCACTGTCTCTTTGGCACTTAAGACCATGCATTGCCTTCACTATTTTCAAGGCCCTGCCTTAGACAAATGGGGAATGAATTCTACAAAGATGCTGGCTACCCTCCCCACTGAGGGCAAGAGAGAAGCAAACAAACAAAACAAAAAACAAAAACAAAACAAAAACTTTTTAGCTCCTATTACTTTGTTAGTGTGATTTATTCTCTTGTTATCAACTAAGAAAACTATTCCAAAGATCTGATTCATCCCTCATCTTTCAAACTTGCTAAGAGAGCCTTGAATTTGCTCACAAGATAGAAAACCATATCCTAAGTTGGGAGAGCATGGCATGGCTATGAGTTTGAAGCTGAAATTTAGGTATTAAAAAAAAATTCCAGGACCAGCAGTTGGCGTAATGGCTATGTCACTGGACTCCCATGTAGTCGACCACAATTCGAGTCCCAGACCCGGTGGCTTAAACTCATGCCGGGTGCGTGTGTGTGTGTGCCCAAGCCTCCAAGAGGAGAATGGAGCAGAAGGGATTGCGGCATGGCCATCCCCCCTGGGGGGTGATTTCTCGCTTTCTGTCTCTCTGTTTCTGTCTTTCTGGTGAGCGCATGCACTCTATGGCAAAAACTTCTTCCCCCCCCCCAAAAAAAAATCCATAGTCAGTGGTCCTGGAAGAGCAAAATTTGTATCTATGTCAGTAATGTATAAATAAAATACATAAATAAAAATATAGTAAGTGTGTATAAATATAAATGTCATTGCTTTACACCCACTGTCTCTTTGGCACTTAAGACCATGCATTGCCTTCACTATTTTCAAGGCCCTGCCTTAGACAAATGGGGAATGAATTCTACAAAGATGCTGGCTACCCTCCCCACTGAGGGCAAGAGAGTTACCCAGACATCCAGAATGGTGCAGAATAATTAGACTATTCAAAACCCTGAGGATTTAATAATGCTCAGCCACCAGACTACTTTGGTTGCCCAGAAAAGATAACAACAATGCTGGCCCTGTTCAAATGCTGATTGTAATCAGCATAAGTCTTGTACATTGTAGCCTCATAGGTACCTATCTCAATAGTTTATTCCACTAAAAGGTGCAAGGTGGTTTAAAATCAGGAAGCCATTAAATTGGCATTTGTCCCCCCACAGCTAGAACCCAGGAGTCCTAGAATTGGGGTCAGCCCTGCCAGCTACATAGCAAGGCATAAAGCCATGGGAACAAACAAGCTTTCTGATAATGTTTAGTCTCCAGCTCTCTCTTGGTTCATGCCACGTTTCAAGTTCTAGATAGTGACAATTGTGCATATAGTCATTTTCTTATTTTCTTGATTTGTTTAGTATTTTTATTGCCAGAGAGTGTATGTGCTTGCCAGACAGAGGGAA